TGAAATGTCATATCCCAACTTCCCCCTCTCTTTGTTTGCTGGGAAACCTGGAGAATGTCCCGACTGAAACATCTTTGGTTCACGTGGTTCTGACTGCCATATGCATCGCTAATTCAATTCTATTTTATTTATAAAGCGCCAAATCACGACAAGAGTCGTCTCAAGGCACTTCACATAATAAACATTCCAATTCAGGTCAGTTCATTAAGCCAATCAGAAAAAATGTTTCCTATATAAGGAACCCAGCAAATTGCATCAAGTCACTGACTAGTGTCAGTGACTTTACAGCAACCCGCTAAGAAAACTATCCTCTTGAATTGGAAAAATAGAGATACTCTCTGCATTAACCAGTATAGAAATCTTTTGTTAGATCATATTACACTTGATATAGCCTCTGCTTCCACTTCAAATCAATCTCTATGGGCTCCTTTGATCGGTGCCATCACATAGCGATGACGGGGGACCATTGATATTGTCCTGCGGGATGATGTGGGTGAGTGGGTGGAGGGTCTGTGGGTGAGGGGGTGGAGGGTCTGAGTTTGGAGTATCCGGACGCTCCCTGGAGGTGGGTTCACTGGGGGGTGTCTGGGACTGGGGGGCTGTTGCCCCCCTCTGGAGGTGCTTGCGTTACCTCAGGGGGTGGACTACTGGCAGTTGTGAGTGGGGCCCCTTGGAGGTCTTTGCTGCGGCCATGGGTCGCTGCTTGGCAGCTGCATTGCCCCAGGGCGGGTCTGGGTGGGGGCCTGGGGGCTCGGGGTGTGGGGGTGGCCGGCCCTGTGTGGGGATCTGGGCGGGGCCTTGGGGGACGGGTCCTGACAAGTATGCTGCCGGGAAGAAGGCAGGAACATGCAGCAGTGCCTGGCCTGGGTTCAGGGGCCTCGGGTAGACCTTGGCTCCTCTGCTGTCCCATCACAGGGGAGGGGGAGGTCCAGGAGGGGGAGGACCCAACCTTACCTGGATGTCCTATGTCATATATTCTGGAAGTTGTGCAAATGCAGGGATGGGCATAGATATTCTGCTGGGGTGGGGCTGGGTTGGTGCCCTCGGACTCTGTGAAGCTCTGCAATGCTGCTGCTTTGGGCCCTGGCGAGATGGACTGGGGTCTCCATGCCCTGGGTGGCATTTTGACAACAGAGGTGCCTATTGCAGCCAGTGGGGGAGCTGGCTCCCTGGAGGGGTAAGCCCAACCAGCCATTCCTCCCCATCCCCACATATTCTTCTCCTCCTGCTCCCTCACATCATCACACAAACATTCACATAGGACCTTGGGGGGTGGACAAGTCAGGGAGTGTGGGTATGGACCCCATTTCTGCAATCCTGTGACAACCTGCCCCCCAATTTTATTTGCACCTTAAACACTTCCACCAACAACATTCCACACAAACACACACTTAGGGCCTTGGTAGTGAGCACATTCAACGGCGTTTGACAGGGGGATTTCTCAGCCTCATCCCGAGTGCCGGTGCCCACTTCCAATTTTAAACTGCACTTAGACACTGAGGGCTGTGGGTGCAAGTGGGGTGCTGTGGTGGCATCAGCTGGCATAGGCCAGACAATGCCCACACTGCCCGCTGACCACAGCCATGGAATACACCTCATCAACACACACTAACACTATATTGGAGCAGGCGGAGGGAAACTAGGGGTCTTAGCACACCTCTGTTGTTGCTTGGCTTCCTGGGGCTGGAGGCTAGGATGGAAATCTGGCCGTCTGGTTGGGGTCTGGGGTGGTGGGTTGCTGTGCTCAGCGTTGGGCGGGGGAGCCTGCTCATCAGCACCCCAGGAGAAAGGGTCAAACTCTGGGAACCGGTAATGGTTGTACCCCATGTGCAGCAGTACCGGGACCAGAGTGAATAGGGTGTGTATGGGGAGCATGAGTGGGTGTCCAGCGAGCATTTTTGTAAGTCTTTGGTTGTAAGTGCATGTGTGACCATGAGGGAGGGAGTGTGTGATTGTGTTTGTGCATGACCGTATATGTCAGGTGGGGCCTTTGACTCCTCCCTTCTCCTGGGACTTCTTTTGATGATATAGATCATTGTCTCCCCTCCCCCTGCCACACCTGGTGTGGAGTGCGGTGCCTTGGTCTGCCTGAATGTTCGTGGGTCCCGGGTCAGGGGGTTTAAGAATTTTGGCGTCTGCCTGATCAATCCCAGCGGCTGCCTGGTGGGGTCTGGGTCCCTGGGCTCTGCTGGGTCCCCGGCAGACAATCTTTGCATAGAATTGACTTACAGTTATAAAATTAATTCAGTAAAATATAAAGCATTTTATTCAAATATCCATTCATTATTTTACAAGCACAGAGAGCCGCATCAGTTGGATGGAAGAGCCGCGGGTTGCCGACCCCTGGTATAGTCTATACAATGACATGTTGAGGATGCAAACTCAATACATCTTTTTTATTACAGCACTTTGTGATTTATATCTGTGAAAGGCGCTATATAAAAAAACTTTTACTTACTTACTTACTTTATTGTGAGGTAATAATTTCTCCGAGTTTTGTGGTTACGGGCAGGAGTAGACATGCACGCTGCAGGTGCGGGCGGGAGTGTAACCCACATGTTGCGGTTGCGGGTGGTAATTGTCAGAAATTCAGCAGGAGCGGACAGGAGCGGGATGAAGAAAAGTCCCACGCAGGGCTCTACTGCTGCGTTTCAGTCAGGGGTCGGCAACCCGCGGCTCTGTAGCCGCATGCGGCTCTTCCATCCATCTGATGCGGCTCTCTGTGCTTGTAAAATAATGAATGGATATTTAAATAAAATGCTTTATATTTTACTGCATTAATTTTACATCTGTATGCTAATTCTAAATGTAAAGATTGTCAGCGTAAACCTGAACAGGTCCAACCCGGTCATACTGTGAGACCGGGTTGACGGGTCACGCTTGTGAGTAATCATATTGGCGCTTTCTGAGCTGAAGAGGATGTCAGATTCTGGGCTTCTCCTCGGACGGCTCCTGGATGCGTTGCCACATTGGAGACAGGAATAAGCGCTATTCAGCCAAAGTTTCATAATCAGGAACATTTTCTAAGTGACAAGTCTCTCTGAAAGACAGGGTTTGGAAAACACTTGCTTCAGTCGAAGGAATCTTCCCGCATGCGCTCTGGTTCTGCGACGCCTCCAAGCCCCTCTCCACATCTTCAGCTCGCTGTGGACCTTATGTAGTACACGCTGACAGTGAGCTGCGCTGAGCAGTGTCCAGCTCAGATGTTCAGATGGGAATCTTTTCTTGAGTGATTTAGTGTTTCAATTTTTTTATGAATTAGATTAAAAATAAAGGAGCCCGGCCCGTGTCCGAGGTAATTACACAGTCATTGGCCCGACGCCCGGCCCGAGGGCCTAGGGCTTCAGTGCAGGGCTCTACTCTGCCGGCTGCTGGATGTGGCCCCCCAGGGCGATCCTCTGCGCCCCTCGAGGGGGGCAGGGGCCTTTCTCGTTGCAGTCTCCTTGGGGATACTGTATTCTGGGGCAGCGCCTGGATCTCTGGGACTTGGAGCTCCCTCAGTCTCCTACACATCTTTGGAGGCAGATCTGTGGCCCCTCACACTCTCTGTTGGACACTCCTATAGATAAACCTTACATAAACAAGTGCGTGTACACACACAGGTGCTCACATGATGCTCTCATAAGTATGAGCTTGGGCACGTTCAACACATGTCTTAAGGCTGTCGTTGCCACTAAATGCACTATGATTCATTATCGTGTGATTATTCAGTTAAACAATGTTGATTGTATATTTCTTCAACCTGACAGTGATAGCTTGCTCTTGTTGTATTGTTGTGTGTCCAATTCTTTTTTTTCTCTTCTTTCTCTTTCTGCAGGTCTAGAAGCAGACTCTTGTTCATTATTGTTTATTTTTGTGGAACTCCCCCCCACCCCCACCCCCCTCTCCCCACCTTTTCTTTTCCTTTCTCTTTCACCTCTGTCTCCATGTCTGGTCGGAATTACAAAGCATTCCAAAACAACAACAATAAAGTTTTAGGTATCAGGCGTGACATTAAAAGCAGACGCTTTGATGCTCCACCTGAGTAAATCTGTAAGGCTTGTTACCAGCATTTAGACATCAATTGTGTTTGCTTCACAGCCAGACAGGACACAGGGGATGGGGGGTGGGGGTGGGGGGGGGGGGTGGTATTAAAACAGAATCACTCTGGTGATTCAGCAGTTCCTTCGAGTTGGAGTTCCCGTTCGAGTTCCAGCTCTCATCATTCAGCCTACAGAGTTCTAGAGGAAGCTACGGAAACGGCCGTCTGTGGTGAATTCTCTTTAACTAAGAAGCAGCTTTGACACGCTGTCAAGGTTGTTGCAAAGCTGACACAGCAAATGGTTCCTGGAACAAAGCTGATTTTGTATAGACTATTTAAGAGTCCCAGACGCGTGGTTCCATCCATCTGTCGTGACCCGAGACATCTCTGGACTGAAGAGTCGGTGCTACATTATTCTACAGCCCTCGGTGCCAGAGGTCATCCGACCTCTTTGACCTTCGGAACCACGAACAGGGTCTCGGAGAACGGGTGAAGTAGGCACACAGATAGTGTCTGATGCATTTTGATAATAATCAACTTCATAGCTTAACGCAAACCAAATTCTTTTACACCCAGAACTCAGCTTTCCTAGATATGGAAGTTCTGATAACATCACATTCACACATACATAACATCTACTCCATCTAGATCCATTCATCACAGTAAATATTAGTTAACTCTTCATGTTTTAATTGTTTGGGAAATAAATTTTTACTTTTACAAACCTGACTCTTTACTTGAATCAAAACAAAGTGTTTACAATCCCTGAATAAAACAAAGAATCCTAGAATCTTCTGATTAAAACACAATGACCAAGCAGGTTGATATTCTGTATTTATATAGAGTATCACAGCTTATTGGTCATAAGTAGAGGTAATATATATTGAGCTCTTAAAGCGCTCAATTTACCAAATCCTACACCTGGAAAACACAAATGAAATTCACACACACATACACACAAACACACACACTTGTGTACCGGCATCAGTGTACTCTGTTTCACCACGGTGTTGACGTTGCGTATCAGTGCCCATTTAGCCTGATCCTTCTCGTAGAGTTCCACGTAATCCCGCCGTTTGTACATCTTTGTGTGCGATGTGCAAACTCACAAATGTGAGGGGCTCTTTTTTTATTCTTCAAAGAGAAAAGCAAAAATATCAAGATCTACAAGAGATGTGTGAACTGGTCTGGTATTTGTAGATCTATAGATGACAAAGTTTCTTCCATGAACTGAGAGTAATGTGGAGTCTGACATGTCACGTAGAGGTCATGAAAACTCAAAAACATTAAAAAGAATTAAGTTCATCACACAGCTCCTGCAGATCAGCTGTCAACTCCATTAACAATTCTGCAATGGATTTGTAAAAAGCTCCAGAAGTTGATCATTTAAGGTTCACAAAAAAAGGGAAAATCTGGTAATTAACTTTCAAATGTTCTCCTTGTTCTCTTTAAAAATGTTTAAGAATTAAAATAAAATCCAGCTTCAAAGTTTCAAATTTCATCAAAATTTCAACCAGTCTGTTTCCTTGCTCTTCTTCTCCCGCAGTTTCCAAAGCACTCACTCTCTGCTGACAAACACACACACAGCCCTGCCCCGCTACTCAACAACCTGTTGCCCATAGCAACAAGATGTCACTTCTTCCTTGGTTCTGTTGTGTGGAGTTAAATTACTGATCTACTGGTCCTCGGTATAATACAAGTAGTTCCCTTTTAATCATATAGATATTTGAATTTGTTCATTATTTTCACAGAATAAAAAATGTTGCTTTTGAAATGACAGATTTCAAAATATTTAAATTCTAGGTAAGTGTTTTGTATTTCCTGAGCCATGAAACTTATTTTTTCTTTGTACACATTTTACATATTTGGTAAAGAATGTCAAAAATCACTGAAATACAGGAAAACTCATCTAGCCCCTAAAATAGTCATTTTTGTTGTAAAATTCTGTATTGGATCTTGAACAGATTTATAAGTGTGAGCCATCATTCATAATAGTTTTCCATCTTCCTCTTTTCATCTGGTGAGAAATACTGAAATGGAATCATCTTCTTTTTTCTTATTTAACAGTGTGTAGTAATTTATTGTTTTACCTTTGGCTGACAAAATAACAGCAAAACTGTGTTAAATAAGAAAAAAGAAGATAATTATGAATCAATACACAGAACGAATATTCAGAAGAGTTGAAACGGAATGCTGTTGTGTGTGTGTGTGTGTGTGTGTGTGTGTGTGTGTGTGTGTGTGTGTGTGTGTGTGTGTGTGTGTGTGTGTGTGAGTGAGGAATAGTGACTAGTTATTTGAGTTTGTGTTACATACATGTATGTTTAATTAAGTTAATACTCCATCTGGCAAACCGTGCCACGTGAATTTTATACCAATCAGCACTGTTCACATATGCATGTGCACATGTACACACACACGCACACACACGCACACACACGCACACACACGCACACACAGTAGTTGATCCACAGGAGTTTAGCGAACAGCAAGCCATCAGAAACCATGTGGTGAATTATTTAACACTGAGGATTTGTTTACTCAACACTCATGCACCTTGCCTGCCTGCTTGGCCCTTCCTGGAATTCTGGTCTCTGCCTGGCTGTACTTGGTTTCTGTTAGCCTGACGTGGGCTTTCCATTGTCTTCGGACTGGATCGCTTTTGTCTGCTACATCTGCTTGTATCCTGGTTCTTCTGCATCTCCCAGAGACTGGCCCTGCAGCACCCCCAAGAGCCTGGTTCTGCTTCAACCTTCCGGGCCGGGCCTGTGTCAGCCACCTGGAGCCTGGGCTTTGCTTGCTGCTAACTAGGTGCTAACTGCAACAACCTCCGGGACACAGAGCCTTCAACACCTTCCTGGAACCTGGATGGATTGCTGAGCTGCTCACAACCATTATTCTGCTCATTTGAAATTTTGTAAGACTGGAGATGGCTTGGCTCCAGAGGACGTAAAGGCTGAAGCAGATTTTATCACACAAAGAACCCTTGCTGGATCAGACTCCTAAACCTGTATTATACCTAGAAACACAAAATGTCACCACTCATCACCACCCTGTGTTTGCTAGCATTATGTAATATTGTTAAAGTTCCTTATGAGTCCCAAGACTGCAGCACAGCCCCTCCACCCTTTGTTACACCTTGTGGAGGTTCATGAGCAGGTGACTGGATGCTTGGAAACAAAGTGTCACCATTTCCCTTTCCTCCTCCTGAATTATCGGGCTTAGTCCAACTAATGTGTGTCATGGCTTTACAAGATAACTTTATCATACTTCTAGATGACTTTCCTGACACTATGTCTGACATAAAGAGTGAGACGCATTCCTCTTCTAAATCTTATGAAAAGAGGGTTATGATTTTTCTATTGTTACTAATCTCTGGGAACATTTAACCAAACCCAGGTCCAGCCTCTAGTTCAGTTAACAAACCCTACTGACACCTCCTTACTGTCACTTCTTTAGCTTCTGGCATGAAGACAATGACCTTTGATTGTTTCTGCAGTCGTGAAGCTTTGGGGTTTCACATTTAAACATTCGACGCTCCTCCCCAGGATAGATGAACTGAAAGTTTACGTTCAGACAGCTAAACCTGATGTTTTAGTCATTTCGGAGACCTGGCTCAAGAAGTCAGTACCTGACTCTGTCGTGTCCATCCCTGGTTCTAATGTATTTCGTCAGGATTGACCAACCAATGGTGGGGGGATTGCTATTTACTGTAAGGACAATTTGCAATGTTCAGTCATGTTATCTAAATCCTTGCCCAAACAGTTTGAGCTGCTGTTACTGAAAATCAATCTCTCAGAAAACTACTCTGGTTGTTGTTGGCTGCTACAGCCCCCCATCTGCCCCTGCATGTGCTGTCTGATGCAGGGGACTGTTCTGTTCTGGTCCTGCTGGACCTGACTGCAGCCTTTGACACTGTTGACCATAACCTGCTACTGGAGAGGCTGAGAGACTGGGTGGGCCTATCAGGATCTGCTCTGGAGTGGTTCTCCTGTTATCTCTCTGAGCGCTCCTTCTCTGTGGCCGTCTCCAAGTTTAGGTCCTCCACCACCTCCCTCTCCTATGGTGTCCCACAAGGTTCTGTGCTGGGGCCTCTGCTCTTCCTCCTCTATCTGCTTCCTCTTCAGCACATCCTGAGCTCCTTCAAAGGAACCTCCTACCATCTTTATGCAGATGACATCCAACTGTACATCTCCTTTAAGCCCCATGAGATGTCTAAGCTGCAGCTGTTACACACCTGCTTAGACTCTATCAAAACCTGGATGGTGGGAGCTTTCTTCAGCTGAATGAAGATAAGACTGAGATCCTCATCTGTGCCCCAGACAAGCTGGTTCCCAAAGTCAGAGACTCTCTTGGTCAGCTTGCTTCCCACACCAAACCCTCCATCAGGAATCTTGGCGTGACCTTTGACCCAGCTCTCACCCTGGATTCTCATGTCAGTTCTCTTGTTGGCTCTTCCTTCTTCCATCTCAGGAACGTTGCTAAGCTGAGTCCCATTCTGTCCCGCTCTGAACTTGAGACAGTTCTCCACACCTTCATCTCCTCACGCTTAGACTACTGTAACTCTCTTTTCACGTGTCTGAGCAGAACCTCCCTGAACCGTCTACAGGTGGTTCAGAACGCCTGTGCTCAGCTTCTGACCAAGTCCTCCAAACACACCCACATCACCCCGCTTCTCCTCCAGCTTCACTGGCTGCCAGTCAACTTCAGGGTTCATTTCCAGATCCTGGTTCTGGTCTATAGGGCCTTACATGGACAAGCACCATCTTACATTGGTGATCTTCTTAGTCCCTACACCCCCAGCAGGTCCCTGAGGTCCAGTGACCAAAGCCTACTGGTTGTGCAGCACCAGGCTAAAGGTCAAAGGTGACAGATCATCTGCTGCTGTGGCCCCCAGACTCTGGACCTCTCTCCCCCTGAGCCTGAGATCAGTGGACTCAGTGGTCTCTGTAAACTCACCTGTTCAGGTTTTGGTGTGACTTTCACCACCGTCTCCTTGTTCTGCTCTCCCTACCTATTCCATCTTCCTCAGGATTCACTGATTTCCCTCTTTTTATATTCATTATATTTTATATCAATTTTTTATAATATTTTTTTTTTGTTTTTGTGAAGCGCCTCGTGATTTTTGTCTTGAAAGGCGTTTTAGAAAAGATTTTCTTTCTTTTCTCATTTTAGAGAAAAACGTTTAACCGTTACCGTCTTAAATGGGTTACCGCTAGCTTGTTCAAATAGAGCTCCGGACTCTGATTGGTTCTTTGCTTGTCTAGTCCTGCCTCTCCCAATTGCTGATTGGTTCTTTTTTTCCGTTGAGCTATTTTTTCCATTTTCTTATTGGATTTTTATTCACGTCAATTTTCATTGTCAACTTTCATTTATCAACACAAAAAAATCCATGAAACAGCAAGGCCGCGAAGGGCAAACCGCATTATAGCCTTGGACTGTTGTACAGCGTGTTGTCCTCCGAAGCATGTGAAAGCGCTATATAAATAAAGTTGAACTTGAACTAATAAAGATAGGATACTGTCAGGTTTGGTTCCCCTGCTGTCTGCCTTTTTCCTTTTCTCAGCTCTTGTTTCCTCAGGTTCCCGCTGGAGGGCGCTGTGGTGATGCACACTCATTTCTCCACACAGCTGTGGTTCATCAACAATCACTCACTAGTGGATAAGAAGGGAGGCAGCCATCCATTCGATGCCAGATCGTTAACCCATGTGGTAAACCTTGAGTGCTGGCAGTTCCCTGTGTTTATGTTTATTTATTTAGCAGACGCTTTTATCCAAAGCGACTTACAGTTTATAACCTATAGGGCATGTTGTGATCTGTGGGGGAAACCGGAGTACCCGGAGGAAACCCACGCATGCATGGGGAGAACACGCAACTCCACGCAGAAAGGCCACAGCCGAGTTTCGAACCTGCAACCTTCTTGCTGCGAGGCAACAGTGCTAACCACTGCACCACCAGGCAGACCCTGTGACGTCCTTGTTTCTGGAATTTAACACTTTCTGTTGATTCTTCAGGTTATTCATGTTTCCCAGTGCTCAGCTGATCTCATCAATTCTGAAATACATTCCGGGACCAACTCCTCCTTGC